CTTCTTCCTCGAATCACTGGAACAACTCTGAGCCAAATCCGCGTGCATCCCCAGGGAACGGTACAACTTTTTGAACAAGGCAGCGAAAGTAAACACCGTTCTGCTTGCCGCTAAGCCCGTAGCTCTCTGCCCAGCACACTTCCTGTGAGATATTTTTTTTAAGTTTCCTCCAGATCTGGGGTTTATTTTGCTTTTAAATCTCAGCAGTGGAGAGGCAGAAAGAGGAAATCCCAGATGAGACACTACTATTTGGCAGTCTTAAGAATTATGGTTGTATTGTCGTTTTGGTTTAACTTTTTACCCAGACATTTTCAACATACGTCAAAAGTGCAGAGAATATATATGTGGACTTCCTTGTATCCATTACTCAGCTTGACAATTATCTCCCATATTTACTTTGAAGGCAGGAGAATTTATTAACTCACAGAGAAGGGATATCATGAAAATTATGCATGAACCGCCCCCCCCCCCTCTTTTTTTTTTTTTTTTTTTTTAGCCCATCATTAATGTTAGTATATTTTATGTGTGGCGCACGACAGTTCTTCCAGCCTGGCCCAGGGAAGCCAAAATGTTGGACAGCCGTGAGTTAAAACATAGAAACCACTAGCCATTATGATAATGGTAACATTAAGAAACCTCTTCTCTGTGAGTTAATAAATTCTCCTGCCTTCAAAGTAAATATGGGAGATAATTGTCAAAGCTGAGTAATGGATACAAGGAAGTCCACATATATATTCTCTGCACTTTTGAGTATGTTTGAAAATGTCTGTGGTAAAAAGTTAAACCAAAACGACAATACAACCATAATTCTTAAGACTGCCAAATAGTAGTGTCTCATCTGGGATTTCCTCTTCTGCCTCTCCACTGCTGAGATTTAAAAGCAAAATAAACCCCCAGATCTGGAGGAAACTTAAAAAAAAATATCTCACAGGAAGTGTGCTGGGCAGAGAGCTACGGGCTTAGCGGCAAGCAGAACGGTGTTTACTTTCGCTGCCTTGTTTCAAAAAGTTGTACCGTTCCCTGTGGATGCACGCGGATTTGCTCAGAGTTGTTCCAGTGATTCGAGGAAGAAGTCAGTCGCTCAGTTGCCATTGACTAGGTCAGTTAGGAGGCAAAATGGGTTGATCCCAGAGCCCACTGCTTGAGGAAGGAACTTGCTGCTGTTTGCAAGTTCAAAGGTCTGCAGTCAGATCTGCTGAGTGTTTTTTTTTGTTTTTTTGGTCCGTCTCAGCGGAAACAGGAATGTGCATAAATAGGAGCTGTAACAGGCTAGCTTGGAGTGTTTTACTTATTTAGTTATTTTTAAATTTTTAGTTTATTTATTTTTTGAGATGAATTCTCGCTCTGTCGCCCAGGCTGGAGTGTAGTGGCATGATCTCAGCTCACTGCAACCTCTGCCTCCTGGGTTCAAGTGATTCTCCTGTCTCAGGCTCCCCAGTAGCTGGGATTACAGGCATGAACCACCCCAACTGGCTATTTTTTATATTTTTAGTAGAGACCAGGTTTCACCATGTTGGCTAGGCTGGTCTCGAATTCCTGACCTCAAGTGATCCACCTGCCTCGGCCTCTCAAAGTGCTGGGATTACAGGCATGAGCTACTGCACCCAGCTGCTCTGAGTGTTTTAAATTGAGAGTTAAGTATGAGCATTGTTACTGTATTAAAAAATACTCATCAGTTAAAAAAAAATACTCTTTTCCCCTTCCTGGGACACCTAAATCTAAGAGAACAACTCCTATATAAAAATGATATAAAAATGACACATTTTAGAAGTATGTTTCTAACTGTTCCTGAGAGGCTGCGTGGTAAAGCTGAAGTGAAAGATGTGTTTTAAATCTGTATATATGGGCAAGTACATATTGGTGATTGGAGCTAGATGCTGCCTAAATGCATGGCCCAGACTTCAAGGAATTATAGTGTAATGGCTAGGAATACAGGTTTGGAGTCACACCATAGTTGAAAGCTTGGCTTTTTTTTAGCTGTGGGTCCTTGGGCAGGATACGTAATCTCTCTGTGCCTGAAGAACCCACCACCCCCATCCTGTAATGGGGGGATAATAGCCCTGCCTATCTCATGGGGCTATAAAAAGTTTTCAGTTAACTTTTACTTATGAAGTGCTAGTAGGGTCCCTCATACATAGTAAGCACTCATTAAGTATTAACTATTATTATTATTATTATTATTATTTTGAGACAGAGTCTCGCTCTGTCGCCCACGCTGGAGTGCTGTGGTGATCTGGGCTCACTGCAAGCTCCGCCTCCCGGGTTAACGCCATTCTCCTGCCTCAGCTGGGACTAGAGCTGAGTCCTGTAGCTGGGACTACAGGCGCCCGCCACTATGCCCGGCTAATTTTTTGTATTTTTAGTAGAGACGGGGTTTCATCGTGTTAGCCAGGATGGTCTGGATCTCCTGACCTCGTGATCCGCCCGCCTTGGCCTCTGAAAGTGCTGGGATTACAGGCGCGAGCCACCGTGCCCGGGCGAGTATTAACTATTATTTTAATGGTTGTATTTTTTGTCATTTTATTTTATTTTATTTTATTAGTTATATATCTGAGATGGAGTCTGACTCTGTCGCCCAAGCTGCAGTACAGTGGCACCATCTCAGCTCACTGCAACCCCTGCCTCCCAGGTTCAAGTGATTCTCCTGCCTCAGCCTACAGAATAGCTGGGATTATAGGCGCATACCACCACACCCAGCTAATTTTTGTATCTTTAGTAGAGGCGGGGTTTCTCCATTTTGGCCAGGCTGGTCTTGAACTCCTGACCTCAAGTGATCCACCCGTCTCTGCCTCCCAAAGTGCTGGGATTACAGACGTAAGCCACCGCACCCGGCCTTTTATTTTATTTTATTTTATTTTTTAGAGATGGGGTCTTATTCTGTTGCCCAGGCTAGACTGCAGTGGTGTGATCATAGCTCACTATAACCTCCAACTCCTGGGCTCAAGTGTTTCCGCCACCTCAGCCTCCCAAGTAGCTAGGCCTAAAGGCGTATGTCATCATGCTCAGCTAATTTAAACTTTTTATTTTGTAGAGATGGAGTCTTGCTACCTTGCCCAGGCTGGTCTTGAACTGTTAGGCTCAAGCAGTTCTCCCACCTTGACCTCCCAAAGTGCTGGGATTACAAGTGGGAGCTACTGTGGCCAGCCTATTTTTTTCTTTAAAGTCTTTACAAAACTTACGAGTAAATGTAAAGAGAAGTGGAGGTAGAACATATTAGCCT